TCTCATCCAGCAGTGCTCTTCCGATGTTCTCATGTTCTCAGACTTTCTTGTTGCTTCTGATCTCCCGGGACCGATTCCTGGTTCTTAGTGGCACAAAAACCTGTTGTTGAGGGGAAAAGACACCATGAATGGTTTTACTCTGAAGCGCTGCCCCACCCCAGCCCAGGGCTTGGGGAGCGGATCTGTCTATGCCGATGACCTTCTTTACGGGCTATGTAAGCCTTTCTGCCCCGGGGGAGGTGACACAGACTGGGAAGTAGGTCACGGTGTTCTTTGTGCCAGGGCTTGCAGCAGCAACATCCGCCTCCTCCCCGCGCACACCCAGGTCTTCCCGAAGGCGGCTCCATGTGCCGGGGAGACATGAGGCCCGGCCCCGCAGGCAGAGCAGGGCGTGGGATTCAGGTGGTTGAGCTGGGAGTTATTTTGCTTGCCCGCACCCAGGAGGAGGAGGAAAGGGGGGGCAGGGCCACCGAAGCAGGTGGACCCGAGTGCAACGGCAGTTGTGGATGGAGATCGAGGCCAGAAGCTCAGTAGGTCCTCAGGCCTTCTCCTGTGCTCTGTGGGCCAGCCATGGCTCAGGGGCAGAGGCTCTGCTTGGCATGCAGGAGGTCCCAGGTTCAATCCCCGGCATCTCCAGTTAAAAGGACCAGAAAGTGGGTAAGTGAAAGACCTCTTCCTGAGACCCTGGCTCAGTGGCAGAGCCTCTGCTTGGCCTGCACGAGGTCCCATGTTCAATCCACGGCATCTCCAGTTGAAAGGACCAGGCAGGAGGTGACGGGAAAGAGCTGGACCTGAGACCCTGGCTCAGTGGCAGAGCCTCTGCTTGGCATGCAGAAGGTCCCAGGTTCAATCCCCGGCATCTTCAGTTAAAATGGACCAGGCAGGAGGTGATAGGAAAGACCTTGACCTGAGACCCTGGCTCAGTGGCAGAGCCTCTGCTTGGCATGCAGAAGTTCCTAGGTTCAATCCCTGGCATCTCCAGTGAAAAAGGACCAGGCAGGAGGTGATGAGAAAGTCCTCAGCTTGAGACCCCGGAGAGCCACTGCCAATCTGAATAGAGAATACCGTTCTTGATGGACCCCTGTGGTCTGATTCAGTGCCGGGCAGCTTCACGTATCGATGTTTTCCCAACCTCCCGATGTCATAGTAGCAACAAGGGCAGCAGCTCAGAGGCCGTATCGCCGTGTCGAAGGGAAGGCAGCATTACCTCTTGCAGAATACAGCACGGCGGAATCGACAGTTTCCCAGCTCCCCTTTGCCCAGGCGTTATAATATCCCTTCCTCTTTTTTGGCAGTGAGAGGACAGACCGCTTTTCTCAGCGAGAGCTGTCTGTGTGTGAAGCGTCTCGTCTAGTCTAACAAATCGCCACCACGGGTTGAATCTCCCGCAGGTCAATGGGCTGGTGTTGCTCGGTTTGGCTTTTTCCGCTCAATGCTTTACTGGGGGAATATTCAGCGGTGGATTGGCCCTTTAACTTCCCGGGATGGTTCCTAGAGGGGCTGTTGACAGCCAGGAGGGAGCCAGGCTTCCAGACTCTCCTTCTTCCCGGCCCAGTTTAACTTTCCAGTCCACCCCTGGGAAATCCCTCTTGCATTTTCCAAATATAATCTGCTCCCAGCTATTCACAAGGGGCCCTGCCACGGCTCCCTGCCAGTCTACCCTGCTCTGTGACATTTGTACCTTTGGTCTAGTTCAGAGGTCTTTTTGGGGGGCAGCCCTTGGAGACTGGCTCCATGATGCAGTTGCATCCATCTGTTGTTAGCCTTTATTTATTCACTTCGTTTATACCTCGCGTTTCACCCCAGCGGGGACCCAGAGACACACATACCATTTTCCTCTCCATTTTCTCCTCACAACAACCCTGTGAGGTGGACCAGGTTGAGCGTCTGTGACTGGCCCCAGGTCACCCAGCGAGCTTCCACAGCCGACATGGGGATTCGAACCCGGGTCTCCCAGATCCTAGTCGGACTACGCCGCACCGGCTCTCTTTGACTGTGTGTTCTTTCTCTTCGGTGCAAACTTCCCCCCCACTTTGCGGTGGAGGAGGGGAAACGTTTTCCTAGGAGAGAAAGTCTTTTTCCCCCCCTTTCTCTTTCCCCCCTAATTGCATTGTTGTCCCGAACTGCTTTTTCGCAAGGAGCAGAATATTCTGTTCTTGTTTTTCTCTCCAGGGTTCGTCGTGCTTCTTCCAGCTTCCCTGTTTGTTTGCTTTAAAAAAAAACAACCCGCTAAATGTTTACACTTCGCGATTGCCAGCATACCCATTGTTTCCTGTGGAGCAACAATCGGTGTGGGGAAAGACAGGCGTAAAGGAGCCAAGCCAGACAGTTGCATCCAGAGAGGTGGGTGGGACGTGTGCCCACCCAGCCTCTTCCCAGAAGAATCCTGCCTCCTGCGGCCCTGCCACATGCCAGGCCAAGCGAAGCCTGCACAGGAGAGCCCCTGAGCCAGTGTTCCCTCTAAGCTGAGTTAGTGTGAGCTAGCTCACAGGTTTTTAGCCTCCGGCTCACACATTCTTGTCTTAGCTCAGGAAGGAGGGCTCCAGAGCAAACTGATTTATGCAGCAGCCAAATCTCCTCCTCAATATGTTAATGCCAGTAGCTCACAGAGTAGAATTTTTGCTCACAGAGCTCCATGGCATAGAGGGAACATTGCCCCTGAAGTCTCTCCTTGCAGCCTCCTCCTCCTCTTCGCAGCTCCCAGGCAAACCCTCCCCTCCCTGCTTGCTCCCTATTGTTCCCTTGTGTAGAAGCGGTTTCTAGGCCAGTAGGTTGCTGGCACGGCGCCTCCGCTCCACTTTCTGGAGCGGTTGCGCAATCCACAACGATCAGACCTGTTTTGACTGCCTGGCCTGATAAATATTCAGTGTTTGCTGACCTATATTCCTCTCGGCTTGCGCCTGATGCGCGTAGATCACATGCTAGGGAAAGGGACGGGGGGGAGGGGCTGGCAGCCGGAGAGGA